AAATTCCCCAGCCAGCTTTGCTGGCTGGGGAATTTTGGGAGTTGAAGTCCACCCATCTTCCCGCCCTACAATCAGCTGTAAGATTCTGAGCCAGAATGAAAGTCCGTGGAAAAGGTTTCTTTCATTTCTCTCCACCTCTTTCGAGGCCGAGGCTTTTAGGACCGGCGTGTCCTAACTACTAAAGAAAAAACTCACTTTCCTAAGCGTGTCATTTCATGAATAACCAGCCAGCCAGCCCCAATAATATCAGTGGGAAACCGATTTATTTCCAAGGTGCCTGGTTAGGAAACAACATTATTTCAAAGTGGCCTTTTCACGGGTAACAGTGCGCGTGGGTAAATTTAGGACGTTCTTAACGTGTTCTGGTGAGGACCGCGTGCGGATCCTCACGCGTGGCCCAAGGGGGGCTTCGGAGGCAAGGGACTGAGATGCACACGTTGGTGCTTCCGTTTAGGACCTGTGGCTGTCCGTGGTTCCAGTTTGGAAAGTTGAGCCCTCGTGTCACATGTCTGTCTTTGCACGGCTGCCGTCGTGAGTGAGAAATAGACCCGCGGCAGGATGAAAATAGCGCTGGCTCGGGGCTCCCCAAGGACGGCTGAGCAGATTCTGAGTCTGGAAATACAATTCAAAGGCCGTTTGGCCAAACGCTCGCGACATTTATCCGATTAGCCATCTTGGGACCCATGGCGGTGCCCGAGATGCATGGAAGCATGGCCCCAAACTGTTTTTTTTCCCTCCAAATGCCTGGATCCAATTGATCTCATCTGGTCATTTAATTGGACCCTGGAGTGAGGTCTGTTTTCCGATGGGCTTCCGATTCAGAAATGGAATCCACAATTTGGATTTTTTTCCTCCTTTGCCTGGCCCTTGCAGAAACGCACCCGAGCTGGACTCTGCGGGACGGTTCGCCCTCCAGTTCAAACGCTCTCTGATGCCCGCTTTTGGCCCCTGGAACGTTCTGGTTTACCCGCTCAGTCGCCTCCCAGCTCTGCCACGGGACAGGAGCTCACGATGGACGCCTGGAAGGAGGCCATGGGGAGAGAAGGCGGCCCCTTCTTCGGCTGTCTGCTGCCGGACCGGAAGCGCGCCGAGCAGAAGCAGTAGACCAGTGGGTCGAGGCAGGTGCTGAAGAGGCCGAAGAGGAAGAAGATGTGGCTGAGGGAGGGGGGCACCTGCTCCCGGGTCAGCATCTCTGGGGAGAACCAGTACCACAGGCCCAGCATGTAGTAGGGCGTCCAGCAGGCCACAAAGGTGAGGACAGTGATGGCCGACATCTTCAAGGTACGGACCCGGATTTGGGGGATATTGTTGCGAGAGCAGCGCAGGGGGACCTCCTTGGACTTGGGGGATGCTGCAAGAGAAGAGGCGACAACGGTAACTCAAGGGCTGTGCCAGTGTTTCCCAACCTTGGGTGCTTTAAGACGGGTGGACTTCAACTCCCAGAATTCCCCAGCCAGCCTTGCTGGCTGGGGAA